TGATTGATAAATCCATATTTGGATTAAGACAAGCCTCTAGGAGCTGAAATTTTCGATTTGATGTGAAAATCAAAATGTTTGATCTTATAAAAAATGAAGACGAACTGTGTGTTTACAATAAGATAGTGGGATCATTGTCGTATTTCTAATATTTTATGTATAAGACATATTATTAACAGGAAACGATGTCTCTATATTTCAATTGTTAAAATTATGGTTGTCAAATAATTTCTCCCTCATAGATATGGGAGAAGCAAGTTGATCTATAGAGATAGATATAAAAGATTACTTAACTCATCCCAATCTATATAAATAAAATCTTGAGAAGATCTAATATGGAGAAAATGAACTGAAAGTTCATGGATATACTAATACTAACTTCTAGTCAGACTAGAATGATAGCAATATCTCAATTAGGATATTGGTTTACTCTTAAGCGGTGTGTTGAAAATATTCCAAATCAGAAATAATCTTCGATTCAATAATAGAAGCCTTATACATTTTCCTTTAGAAGGCAACGAAAGTTGTGGTCTGGATCAGGAAGTTCATTAATGAACTTGAAGTAGTTCCTAACATTGTTGATCACATGCTTCTGCATTGTGATAACAATGGAGCCCTCGTACAAGCGAATGAACTAAGGTCTCATTATCCAAACATGTGTTAAGGCAACATTATTTCATTGGAAAGATAATACAATGAAATGATGTAAAGAAAGAACAAATTCCCGCAAGTTATTAAATTGCAGATCCACTGACATAGAGTTGTCACTGCATAAACTAGATCGTCATATAGACTCTTATGATATAAGATACATAAGTCATTTGATCTAGTGCAAGTGAGAGTTTGTAAGTGTTATGCCCTATGTCAAATCAACTTTAGGCAAAAACGCTTTATATATATATATATAATCGATGCATATTTATGGCAGTATCTATTATTTAATTGAATTAATATTCTAACAAATTAAATAATAGAATCCGTAGATTCAAGTCTTGGTGATTTGTTAATCACAAGGAGTTGTGATTGTGAGATACAAATTACATATGACTGAATCTTAAATCGTCCGTGGTCGAGGTAATAACGAGATACGGATATCGTTATTACGGATAGACTATCGCGTGTGGCATTCTTACTTGTGAAGTAAGTAGCTGATCTCACAAGCTAAAGTGTGGTGACACTTGAATGAACACGTGGATGTTTTGTTATAGAACAAAACATTGGAGACCCGCTGGGAGATTCCACATGGATAACTATCTGAGTGTTAGTGGTTAATCTCTAACGTTCGGTAGTGGAATTGGTCCTTTGACTTGAGGTCGTCATAGTACCTTATATGAGGACAGTCATACTTTGATGGTGTTGGATGTTACTCTGCCAAGGGTCGCTAATACAACATCGTTCAAGATCATATGAAGGTTGTGAATAATTGATAGAGAATTCGTCACTCTTAGATAATAAGAGATTATGATCTACATTTTATCCAGTTAAGTTGATAATGAAATCCTTGACCAATGTGAACTCATAAGTCAAAAATGAACTTTCGACTTACATTAACTTAATAGTAGGATAAAATATATGATCGATAATTGAGATTGACACATATCCATATCTCATAATTGATCGGATCATATTGATGAAAAGATTATAGTTTCACGGTAAATGAACAAGTTTGATTTTGTCACACCACGTGATATTTCCTGTCACATGTATTGCCGACACATTACTAGATGTCAATCGGGACGACGAATGTGAAATAGTTTTAAATTAAAATGGGTGTTTTAATTTATCGATTTTAATTAGATCAAAATAATAATTCACTTCATTAAGCACCGTGATTAGGAACTGAATTAATTGAATTAATTAATTCATAGACCATATTTAATTAATTTGATTAATTAAATATTGGACCGGGTTAAGTTTAAGAGACTGGTCAAGCCTGCTTGAGCTTATATTAATAGGATGTTAGGATTTGAAAATTGTAAGGAATAATTCATTATTTTTACTAGCACAAGAAAAGAAAACTTCATTCGTCATTCTTGTTCTCTGTGTGGATCAGCATTGTAGGCTAGACAATTGGACAGCTTGAATTGTAGATCGTGATCATTCGAGTTCGAGAATCAACAAAAGAGTTTGCAGAATTTATCAAATGTATAATTCTTATTACAGTTTCTATCTAAACACAATGCAAATCTTTGGTGGGAATTGAAAATTATTTTATTTTCCTGCTGTTGTACACACACACACACACACACACATATATATATATAGAGAGAGAGAGAGAGAGAGAGAGAGAGAGAGAGTGTGTGTGTGTGTGTGGGTGGGTGTGGGAGTTAGGGACTTGATGGGGTGGGTTGAGTTATTAGTAATATATTTATTTAATATAATATTAAATTGATAATTTGTAATTAACACCTAAAATCTGAATTTTAAAGATTATTTAGAACTCTACAATTAAAGATTAGTTTTCATAAACAAGGAGATTAAGGGTGTGTTTGAGCCACATTATTTTGGAATAATGTATTTTGGAATAGTAGATTGATGGAAAATGCGTGGTTGAAAAAGAAGAAAATGTTATTGATGTGATGGAAAATATTATTTTATTGAAAAATGTGTAGTTGAAAATGAGTAGAATAATGAAAATGAAAATTTTAATGTGAATCAAACAAGAGCTTAAGTTTAAAATTACCACCTCAAGACCAGGTAATGCTAGCTTTTCACGAATTGGTTTACACCCCTAGAATGAGGAATAAAATTTCAAATTTTAAAAATTGGGAATACCTAGAAAGTGAAATGAAATGTTGAATTGGAGTGTGATGGTGATGGTGACAAATGATTCTAGGGAATATGATAAAGCAAGGAAATGGTGATGGCATTCTAATCTTCTAATGTGATTGAATGTATCTTTTAGTACGCATTAAAGTGGGGTTCGTGTTTCACCTACTCTAACAAGTTCCTTTTGCTTTATTTATTTGTTCTATATTCGCTCTACAGCAATACCTTCTATCCATTTCACCCCATTTATTGGCTTTTACATTTCCACCACACATTTATAAAAGAGCTCACATTGATGTATGACCTTAAATATTATTATTTCCTATCAAATAAAAGTAACCAACATTATCCTTTGCCTAATTGATTATTAATACAATTTGCTTAAGATTTTTCAACCAAAGTATATGACATGTATTACCCAGTAAGGTGAATTCTATGATACTAAAGAAAGAAAAATGGACTTAAATTAAACATCGAAATGCTGATTTTTGATGTATTGAATTTTTAAAGAAGTGAAAATTACAAAAAAGGAACATTCATATGTATCTTCTGTACGCAATTTAATTTGTTAGGTAAGATAATATGAAAAAACTCGAGTATTGTTTGGAAAAAGTAGAATATAAATAAAAAGAGCAGTTTCACAGAGTGTATATAATAATGTTATTGGGTTTGTAATATGGGGAAGAAGTGGCCTTGTTTATCTTAATCATTTTCACATTTATGTCCTTAATTTTTTTTATTAGGAGATGCTACACGTAGATTACGGTGTACACTCGGGTTTGTACCCCCTCATATGAAGGAAGTCTGCATACAATAAATCATTCTTATTCTTAAATTAACAAAAAATGTTCCCGACGACTTTTTATGTCCAAAATTTTCTTAAGATAAAATTAAAAAAAAAACTTTATTTGTCACTTATTTTTCAAATTAAGCCAAAAATGATCCAAAATTAAGATATTTCTCCCTTGTTTTGAATCATGCTAACAATAATTTTAGACGAAAATCGCGATTAAATACAAGATATGCTAGTCAATGAAATGTTAATGATAAAAATGTGATAATAAAAAAGTTAAGAATATAAGTGTGACAATAAATGAAAATTAGGAATTTTTAATGTAATTAAAATGTAATATATTTTTATAACGTGAATGTAAGTCCCTTAACTTTAAATATTGGATCATATTTTTGCCAAACCACCCCTTTTTTCTTCTGAATTACTGATAAGGACAATCAGTTCAAAGATACATAGCGGGCTGATAATTATGTGAACAGAAAAATGTACTTTAGGACTTGTTTGGCTAGTATGTACACTTTTCCCTGTAGGTTTTCTTGAAGACTTGAGAAATTGAACTACCTTAAAAGATTGAACGGTTAGAGAAACGAAACTCTACCTTTTGAATGTTTAGAGAAAGGAAACTATATCGTTGATATCTTATTGAACTATCTTAACTAAAAGTTAAAATGTTTGTATTCATTTAAATCAGAAATGATCTCTAATCCATGGTAAGTAGGAGTTATCTTGTTGACGTTGCCACATCAATGGTCAAGCCTAGGTTTTACAGATGATATGAAAACTGTTGACAAAATAACTTTTACCCACCATGAGTAGGAAATCAATTCTTTCATTTAGGGTCTGTTTGATTGTAAGAGTGAAATTTGAGTAGAAAGAAAATGAATTCTAGAGAATTGAATTGCATATAATTGTTTCCTGTGAATTATCAATTAATTGTGTTTGATTAGTATAATTTTTCACGGGGACAATATTGAAATTTTGGATCTTTTGATGTTCGTTTGACTTTGTTTTACAGAAATTGTCCATTAAAGAGAGAGAATTTATTTCCATTGCTTAAAAAAATAAGGTGAAAAACTATTTTCCCACAAAAGTAGTGGGAAAACCAATTCAATGAAAACCAAGAAAAGGGGGTCACATGAGGGTTGGGGGGAAAATCATTTACCAAGAAGTTGGAACTTGGAAAATAAGTTCCATGGAAAATAGTGCATATCAAACAGTGCCTTAAATATAGTGTTCAGCAGTTCTCTGGATTTTATTGCCCGCCAAACAAGTCACAAACAAGAAAGAAAAAGTCTCACTTCTCAATCTGCAAAGTTTTTGGCACTTTATTTAAATCACCTACTAACTAGTGGCAATTTGGAAACCAAGATCCTTTATAAAATCCACTCTTACAAGACACAATATTGATTATCCTCCTTGAGAGAGAGAGAGAGAGAGAATGGCTGGCTCTTCATCTCTCAAAACCCTCAACTCCCTTCATATTATCTCCATGAAAACTTCTTCTTCTTCCTTTAGCTCCATGAAAATGAGAACCCTAGTGCAAATGCAAACTTTCATTCTCTCCCACTTGTACCGCATTGCTCGCGGTCTCACAAAAGCAAAAGGAATTCTAGTTGAAGTTCTTAAAGATATTCAACTGGTTCACTTTATAGATTTACCAGCCTTGAAACGGAACAAGAATAAGCGTAAACTCTTTTTTGGTTCATTTCGATTGCACTACAATTGGTGCTCTTCACATGTGACGCCAGTGACAATGCCAGTGCTCGAAAGTTGCTCCACTGACCATGTTTACTATGATTCCACGTGGAATTCGATTATTCCGACGTCTGAGTATGACGGTTCGGAGCTTTCATCGTATCTCCGGTGGCTTGAGGAGAAGGGTCATGAGAATCCAAGCAATGAAATTGATCGACTTGCTGATTTGTTCATTGAGAACTGCCATGAGAAGTTCAGGTTGGAGAAACAAGAGTCTCATAGGAGATTCCAAGAAATGATGGCTAGAAGTATATGAGCTAGCTATGGTCGGTCCAACGTTTTTTAACCTCTGCTTTTTTCATTGTTGGTTTTCCTGTCATATTGACTGGAGTACAGTTTTGGTTGGGGTGGGGGTGGGGGTGGGGTGGGTGCATGGTTAATTTAAAACTTGTGCTCTTGGTTCTTTCTTCATCTATGGGTTGTGGAGAATTGTACACGATGCTATGCAATTGGGGCAGTGGAAATTGTACAATTCTATGTTAAATTATAACCCTTTTTCTTTTAAAAAAAAAAAAATTTACTAGTTGTGAATTACATAAATAGGGTCCATTTTGCATAATTTTTACTTTCTGTATAGTAGTTCTCTAACAAAGTAACGTTAATTTTTGTTTGAAAATTAATTTTCAAAAGAATTTCCTATTCCAGCATTACTTTTAAAGAAAGTCATATTAAATCAACTTTCTCTAAAAAAAATTTTTAATTAAAAGAAACAATTTCATAAAATTAACTAAATGAATTTAAAAATAACTTTTGAATCTCAAAAGGTCATTTTGTCTTCTCAAAAATCATGTCAAACGTATCCTAAGAGTTAACTATGCCCCTATTTGGTAAATCTTAGTTAAAATCAACAATTAACTTGAACTATATATTCATGAATTCAAAATTTTTCAACCACACATTTCATCAATTCTTATTAAATTTTATATATATATATATATATAATCTAATTTTAATCCTCTTGAACAAGGGCTATATTTCGACGGTAACTATTTTCTTATATTAGACTGCTTTTCATTCAATGCCTTCACTTTCACAGACAAAATTGCATTAAAAAACCACCCATTACCCTGCAGTCTCCAGTGCAGTCCCAATTTGTTGATGTACTATGTTGTTATTTTCGGGGCAATCATGCTAGGTGTAAAATCATATATTACAATTTGGTTGATAACACGTCACGTGATTTTTTCATTGGACAGTTTCCACATCAAATTCTTTTTGCAACCACTAGTTTTTTGACGATACACAACGTTGTCACCCAAATTGTACAAATAGATTAATCCTTTCAAGGGAATATGTCATTTTCTAGTGTTACACACAAAAAGCCTGTAGAGGTAGTAATCTCTTTTAACTTTCAACTACACATTTGAATCAATCATGCTACGGTGACGTAATTGTTGACACAATGATTCACATAATGTCACGTGACATTCTACCATTGAACTGTTTAAAACACAGTCACATTTTCCATCCAATCACTAAATACCGCAGACTCTTTTGGAACAATTCTTCAGTTAATGTGTCATTTTCCTATTTGAATTGCTACACAAAAGCAATAGATAACTTAAACTAACGGGAAGGATTTAATGTATCACGACTTTTAATTAACAAATTTTCTTTTCCAATAACATGATTGAAATTTGCATACATTGTGTCCCAGTTGAAATGTCTGTGGAAAATATAATGATTTAGAGAAACCCACCCAATATATTAATACTTCGAGTTTATGATAAATTAAAATCAATTAAAGGGAAAGTAAGATGCCTCTGAAGTCGTGGGATTGCTAAGTGTCTTGTTGTTTACTCTTCGCTCCAAGTTCTCTCTCTTTCCAGCTTTTGCAGATAGAGAAAGCTTTAACAGAGACATGCCTAGGTTCCTTTGGTCTCCTTGTCTATGTAAAAAGGTAAATTCCCTGTGATATTAACGACTATTTCCCCTATTTCTAATTTTGTTCTATAAAATGTGGATGTGGATAGAAATGATGAATTTGAAGGAAGCCTAAACATCGTGTCAT